CGGTAACGGGAAAGGGAAAGGGAGGGAGGGGAGGGGAGGGGGGAGATGGAATCGAGGGAGGGGAGGGAGGAGACGCGAAACAGGGGGGGGACGACAATGCGCGCTAGGTCCGATAAAGCGCTATTACCGCCATAAATTTAATTCCGCCGGTACGAGGCATTTCCACAGAATTACGAATAAATCACAGCTGGCACGATATTCTATTAATTTCAGGAACAGTGCCAAGTGAATTACTGCCAGTCGATACACCGCGCGATGCCTCATCGTCGGCCCTAACCGGTAAATATTTTTTTCCCTTCCCTTCCAGGAGTCATTCGAGCACGTTGTAGAAAATTTCCATACTGTCCCCACCCGCTCCTGATAAACTTATCTTTTTCCTTTCTCCTCCCGTTCCTTCGCTCCTTCTCCTTTAATCGAATCCACCGGTGTTTATCCCGCTTTTCGCGCCTCGTTTTCGAGTCGAGGGAAAGGTGAATGGGAACGATGCCATTATGGCGAGCTATCGTTCGCGCGGATTTCGTAACCTTGCGAATGGAACGGGGACCGGTCTTCGAGATTAGAAGAAGGTTCGACGACCCGAGGTGGTCGATGGCCGCTCAGTTCGTTCGCGTAGACGAAAAAAGAAAAAAAAAGCAAAGTGATGTTGGGGATTATCGATCTCGAGAATCGTCTCTCGAATTGTGGCCCATAATTTGGGACTATATATATATGTGTGTGTGTGTACGTGTGTGTGTATCATGGGTACATAGCTGATGGCTCCAAAAGTTGGAGCGCGATTAATATGAAGAATCGATCGTTGGAATAGGTGAAGTTGGGTCGATACGAACGAAGGAAAAATCTTGGGATCGATTTGGGCCGATTTACATTCACGCGGCTCGAACGTGATCGGCGTGTATGCGGCGAGCCGTGAATGAGAGGGAGAGGAGGAGGGTGGGGGGAAGAGTGTGGCGCTGGGGTTAAATGCACGTCCCCGTGAAGGGGTTGGCAGAGGACAACGGACCGGTGGAAAGGCCGGTGCGAGAGGGACGCACCGTGGAAAAAGCACATGCTCAAAGGAGGTGTAAACAAGGACGGGAGAAAAACATGGAAGGATTTTTGTAGACGGCTTTTGTCTGGCTCGTGAATTTACCAGACCGGAAGAAATTGTCCTTCGATGATCACCCCGAAGGATCACTCGATGATCACATTTTTCGAGGAATATACGATGATATACGGAATTCCATGGCGGGCGATATTTTTCTTTTTTTTTTTTCAATCCGATCCAGCCTTTTTTCCTTCCTCGGATTTCCACCCAGCGGGAAAAATCGGGGTTAATTTCACGTACGTTCGTACAATTCAATTTAAATTCAAATATCGAACTATTTTTTTTTTTTTTTATCCCCTATTCAGCCCCGAGCCAAATAATCGATTCGTGTACGAAAAAAAAAAAAAACGACGTTTTTCGTTTTTCGCCGCAACGCATTTTCCGCGTGGAAACAAAGTTACGCTTCCGTATTCTTAGATCATTCGCCAACGCTCCCACCCCTATCGATTTTTACGTAGCGTTACGTAAAGCGACGCTCGCGTCGGAATTAAGTTCCTACTCTCTTCGGGAAGAAAATCCATTTCCAATTTTCGGTGAGATCGAAATTTTAATAGCATTTCCCCATCGATTATGGATTTGCGCCGCGATCACCGAATCTCGTGAATAAAACCCCCCTCCTCCCGTGTTCCCGTGCTAACCCAGGTTTTTGTCACGTTCCTTCCTTCCTTCCTTCCTTCCTCCC